AGTGTGTTGGTCTTTGGAGGTGGGGTTTTTGGGAGGTAATCAGGCAATTAGTACTCTTATAAAAGAGACCCCAGGGAACTCCCTTGCCCTTCCAACAAATGAGAAGACAACCATCCACAAACCAGGAAACCATTCCTTCCTAGACATTGAATCTGCCAGCACCTTGATCTTGGACCTCCCAGCCTCTAGGACTATGAAAAATAAATTTCTGTTGTTTATAGCCACCCAGTCTATAGTATTCTGTTATAGCAGCCTGAGCCGACGAAGAGAGCAACATTTTGCAAAACTATACTATCTCAAGGATATTGACATTCGTGTAATCCACCAACCTTATTTGGATTTCCTAGTTTTGTACTCATTTGTGTGTGTATATTAATTCTATACAATTTTGTCACCCGTGTAGGTTCCTGAAGCTACCACCACAGTAAAGGAAACGAACAGTTCCAACACCAAAGGATCTCTGGTATTGCCCTTTTATGACCATGCCCACCTCCCTCCCTCCATTTCATCCCTAGCACTTGGCAATCACTAAATCTGTCTTCCGTTTCTAAACTCCTATCATTTCTGAAATGTTAGATAAATGGAACCATGTGGCATGTGGTATTTTGGGATTGGCCTTTATTATTATTATTATTATTATTATTGCCCAGCATAACCTAGCCAATTCATCCAAGTTGTCATATATCAATAGTTTGTTCATTTTGATTGCTGAGTACTATTCTGTGGAATGGATAGACCATAGTTTAACTCTTTACCTGGCGAAGGACATTTGGGTTGTTTCCAGTTCTTGGCTATTACAAATAAAGCTACTATAAACATGTGTAGAGGGTTTGAAGTGCTCAGGGAAATGAAATTAGCTACCACATTCTGGGGACCACAGGTGCTTACTGGGTCCATCATTGTTTCTAAGGGCTTTTCAGTGGACAGAATTAGAATATACTTTTCGGGGCACTTGGTGGCTCAGTCAGGTAAGTGTTTGCCTTCGGGTCATGATCACAGGGTCCTGGGATTGAGTCCTGCATGGGGCTCCCTGCTCAGCGAGGAGCCTGCTTCTCCCTCTCCCTCTGCCTGCCACTCCCCCTGCTTGTGCTCTCTCTGTCAAATAAATAAATAAAATCTAAGAAAAAAAGAATTAGGATATACTTTTCAATTTAAACTAAAATACACCAAGAGTTTGTAAGCTACTTCCTAAATTCAAGACAACAGGGAATTTGCATAACACCATTGATTTTGTATATGTATCTCTTTTCAGCTATGCCAAAATTCCAGTTCTGATAATATCAACATAATTATGTTTTATCCTACACATTTTCACAGGTTCCTAACATGACTACTGAATACAATTTAAAATTTTAAGGCAGGTTTTTTTTTTTTTTTTAAGGTTTTATTTATTTATTTGTCAGAGAGAGAGCACAAGCAGGGAGAGTGGCAGGCAGAGGGAGAAGCAGACTCCGCGTTGAGCAGTGACCCAGATGCTGGACTCTATCCCAGGACCCTGGGATCATGACCTGAGCTGAAGGCAGACACCCAACCATCTGAGCCACCCAGGTGTCCCATTTTTATTTATTTTTTTTATGGGAGTTAATTTTGTTCTTAGGGTAGATCTTTGGGATGTATAGTTAAATTACTGTGTTTTCAAATCATTTAGAAGAGTTCCCTTCTGTGTAGCTACCCCAGCAACTAGATACACATTTAGGTTCATCTGTTTCATTTTACTTTCAACTTAGGGACTGATTTTTTTAAATTAAAGATTTTATTTATTTACTTAACAGAGAGAAAGAGAGAGAGGGCGGAGAGATGCAGGCAGAAGGAGAGGGAGAAGCAGGCTCCCCGCTGAGCAGGGAGCCCAATGTGGGGCCCGATCCCAGGACCCTGAGATCATGACCTGAGCCGAAGGCAGACACTTAACCGACTGAGCCACCCAGGCGCCTAGGGACTGATTTTTTTTTTTTAAATATTTTATTTATTTATTTATTTGACAGAAAGAGACACAGCGAGAGAGGGAACATAAGCAGAGGGAGTGGGAGAGGGAGAAGCAGGCTCCCCGCCAAGCAGGGAGCCTGATGTGGGGCTCGATCCCAGGACCCTGGGACCATGACCTGAGCCGAAGGCAGATGCTTAAGGACTGAGCCACCCAGGCGCCCCCGGGACTGATTTTTAAAAATTAATTTTTGTCACATAATAATGGAAAACATAGGTTTCCAAAGTCAAATAAAACGAACTATATTCAAAGTCTAGCCTGTTTTCCTTTTATTCTGTTCTCTCCTTCTCAATGTCAGTAACCATGAAAAGTTTTTGAATTATACTTCCACGTAAAAAAAAAAAACACAAGTATTTACATTTGTATCTCTCTACTCTCACAAATGAATAGTAGAGGGAATTCTCATACTTTCTTTTTCTTCTCTTCAGCAGGAAAGCCTGCAGAGTGTTTCACCCCAGAGATCCTCGGGAACATTTTGTGTGTGTTAAATGCGGGCAGCTATGCATTCCACCTGATCTTCCACAGCAGTTTCTGGTAAGATAAAGCATGAGAAAACTATCAAACTGCAAAGTGGTACCCAAACGTGCCTGTTGACTGAATATTAACCCCTTTTGGGGAGAGCCTCGAGAGTCATGCGCCCGACTTAGCACATTTTGCACAAGAAGAAACAGAGGCTCACAGAACTGAGAGGACCTGCCCCAAGGAACACAGGGAACGGACAAGCGATCCAGTCTCCTGCCCCGTAGTCTAGAAGTCCAGGATAAATCCACCGAGACTTTCTTTTTAAAAACTGTATATTCAACATACAGATACGTATTTTTATAGAGACGAATACTGTAGGGAGCCCTCGAAGGAGGAAAAGTCACAAAAGGCCATAAGGCGGAACGAGGCAGTTACCGCCCGGGCAACCACGAACGCCCAGAGTCCCGGGAAGGAGCCCGGAGCTGGGCTCGGCGAGCCCCGCCTTCACTCATACTGGGAAGCTCTGGTCCCAGTGCCGAGGAACGCCGGGAGATGCTGCGGAGGCGCTGACGAGGGAGGGCCAATGCGGGGCCTCCTGACCTAAAGCTGTCTATTTGGCACCCCGACAGAAGGGACTGACAGACACACTCTGGACTCGAGCAGAAGTCAGGTAAAGACTGCAGGACAGAGACGCCACATCCAGGTTTCCGAAGGAGAAATGGTCCTCGTGAGGACCCGTAGGGCTTCCGCGGGCGGCGGTTCCGAAACTCCGGCTTAGGGGCGGGGCCGAGGTTTTGCGGGCGGAAGCCCGCGGGAGACAGGGAGCTGAGCAACGGAAATGACGCTTAGTAGCGCCAATGGGATGGAGCGGGGGCTGGTCTTCCCGCCCCATTGGGTAGGGGCAAGCGGTTTCCGGTAGCGGCATCCGGGAGGGGCGGCGGAGGGGGTGGGGTGGCGATTTCGTGTCCCGTGACCCCTGGCCTCCGGAGACCTTGCACCCCCGCAGCCACACCAAGATGATGGGCTGTGGGGAGGCCGAGCTGGAGTCGGTCGGAGGGGAGGAGGCATTGGCGGCCCCCGGGCCACCCCCAGAACCCCGCGCCCCGGAGCCCAGAGCCCCAGTGCCCGAGCCTGGCCTGGACCTGAGCTTGAGTTCGCGGTCCGAGACCCCCGAGCGGCCGACCAGCTGCCCCGGCCGGCGGAAGGGGCGGGCGGACCGGCGGGGCGGGGCCCGCAAGGGGCGGCAGGTGAGCTGGGGGAAGGCCTGGCCGTCAGGCCGCAGACAAGCCCGCGCCCACCTATTCACCGTCCCGCTCTCTGCTCCCAGGTCCGCTTTCGCTTGGCGCCGCTCTCCCCCGTGCGGTCCGAACCGCCGCCGGCCGCCGCAGCACCTAGCGAGAAGCCCGCGGCACCGCAGGACCTGGGGGCGCCCGCGCAGCAGAGCAGCCTGGCTTTGAGCCTCGAGTTGCAGGCCGCGCGGGCTGCAGCCGGCAGCCAGTTCGATGCCGCGAAGGCCGTGGAGGAACAGCTGAGAAAGTCGTTCCAGACCCGCTGCGGCCTGGAGGAGAGCGTGGCCGAGGGTGAGAGAGAGACGGCCGGCGGGGCGCGGGAGTGGGGATGAGAGGCGCCGCTCACCCCCACTCCCCACTGCGGTCTCAGGGCTGAACGTGCCGCGCTCCAAGCGGCTCTTCCGAGACCTGGTGAGCCTGCAGGTGCCAGAGGAACAGGTTCTGAACGCTGCGCTGAGGGAGAAACTGGCGCTCCTGCCACCGCAGGCCCGAGCCCCGCCCCCAAAGGTGAGGGACCTGGGCTTGTTTCTGTGTCGTGCCCCCTTCCCCTTCCCGAGTGTAACCTTGGCTTTGGGCTCCAATTCCCAACAGGAGCCACCTGGGTCAGGGCCAGACATGACCATCCTTTGTGACCCAGAAACGTTATTTTATGAGTCTCCACACCTGACCCTGGACGGTCTGCCTCCTCTCCGTCTTCAACTCCGGCCCCGCCCTTCAGAGGATACCTTCCTCATGCACCGGACACTGAGGCGATGGGAAGTGTAGACGTGGAGGCTCCCTGGATTGCTAATTAATATTTTTGTGTTAAAATTGTTTTTCAGAATAAAGTGGTTTTTGCTAACAAATGGGACTCTTCTTGGGAGACTTAAAATGGGGTCAAGCCTCAGGATGAAAGCTGTCTGGAAGTCAAGTTTTTGGCCGTTTTGGAATTTGGTAGTGATGGCAAGTTGAGAACACTGTCCCACCTCTTCCCCTTACTTCGGTGATAGGACCACGTTGTTACTTTGCACTTTTTTTTTTTTAAATAGTGAAAGCATGCGTGAGGGGGTAGGGGGAGATGGGAGGGGGCAGAAGGAGAGCGTCGCAAACAGGTTCCACGCTCAGCGCAGAGCCGGAAGCAAGACTTCCAGGAGTCTGATGCTCAACCCACTGAGCCACTCAGGTGCCCCTGCACTACTTATTTCTGATCACTTTAACATGTGGGTGGGTCTCAGTCTGTTAAACTTCAGGGAGTCCTTCCCTAATTACCTGGCTCAAGGACCCTGCAAGACAGCGGGCTATTAGCACCCAGTTATTGAAATTACTTCCTTGCTTTTACCTCTAGGGGCCTTGCCCATCTTGTTTACACCAGATCCAAGAGTGCTCAATATTTGTTGAATGAATATTCAAAGTTCCAGGAACACTTGAGGAGCTGCTGAAGAGTTTCATGTTAATTGCCTATTCATCCAGTTGCACATCACAAAAAAGGTGGGTGGGTGGTCTGATCAGTAGTGCCTTTTCCTAGCTCCACTGTTAATTCTTCCAAAGTTAGCCTTCTGTCCAAAGCTCCCACAAAAAAATTCTTGTCAGTGGGTTTTTTGGGGAGGGGAGATGGACTCTTAGCTTCAAGTTTCACATAAAAATTCACATTATATCCCTCCTTCCTGATTAGAGTTGTTTAGTTGTGTGTAGATTTGACTAGCATTCATTCAACTCAATCCTCCCAACCACTGAAAAATCTGTCCTCTTCTTGAGACTCGTTTGGGCAGAGGAAACACAGGTTCTAATGGGAGGCACCATCCCTTCCCCATTAGCTAGAAAGTGCCAGACACAAGTGTGGGGGCCACTGCCCTAAACATCAAATTTATTGTGCTGTTCTTACATTCCAAACCCAACCCCCTCTCCCAGTGGGGGTCAGCAGAGGGAAGGATTTTCACAGTACCTGCATGCCTCCCTGCCAAACTTCCCCCTCTTAACCCTCAGTCCATTCATCTGTGGTCGCTGAAACGCAGCTAGGGACAAGGGCTGAGGAGAAATGGAAATCTCCTTTGGAGAACAGGAGGAAGAGGCTAGAGAACTTGATACCCGCCCCCCCACACCCGAGGAGAACAGAGGTCAGCAAACAGTCCATGCCATCCAGCCCAGTGAGCTGGGGGAGAGAGGAAGATGTCGGTAACTCCAGCACAGCTGGGCTTGCCGCTTAGGGTGCCAGAATGTAGGGAGGAGGCTGGGGCAGCAACATAGGAAAAGCGTTCTTTGCAGATCCATGAAAGGAAACTATTTTTTGGAGCCAAAAAGGAAAGACCTTGGGATACTTTCCTTTCCCCTCAGGTCCTTAAGAGCAGTGGGCAGCTTCTTCACACTTTCTGTTCAGGGGGCCACTTAGTGGCTGGGGGAACGGGCCTTGTGGAACAGGTACACAGAACGCTGGAAGCCTGGGGAGAGAGTGTGCAATCAGTAGGGCTGGCAGGACTTCAAGACTCCATGGGATCTGCATCCCCTCTGCCAAGACCCCCCTCACCATCCGCGGCCCCCCATCCTCTCCCAAGTCAGCCAACCTTACCTCTGGAGGTGTTGTGGGGTGTAGCCACAAGCTCATAGCTGGAGAAGCCCACCTCTGGGGATGTCAGGTAGGAACTGAACTGCTCTGGCCTCAGCTGGATTCGATAGTAGTTCTTATAGATTGTTTCCTAGGGAGAAGGGCAGGGGACCACTTCAGCTTGCTGGCTTCTCTCCTGGTGAATGATGCCCACCCTGGAGAACTATTCACCTTGTTCAGAAAGTACTTCTCTTTGTTTCCTTGAGGCCTTTCTTGCCCCAACTAAAGGAAGGATATCGCAATATCCACCCGAATCCCAACTCACCGTGAGAGTCTTTCTCTTGCCATAGGATGACCAAGGTTGGGGCTCTAGGACCAGGATGCCCCCAGGATGTAGATGCCGATAGATCCGGCGAAACATGCGCTTTAGCCCCTCATCTCCCCAGTTCAGATGCACCCACTTGGTGAGGCTGAGGCAGAGCACCACATCATACTCGGGTGTTTGGGCCTCCACCAGCTCATCTCGATCCAGCACATAGTTACCCTGAAGCAAAAATTGGGGGCAAGGTCAACAGAGGCAATAAAAAGAACCACCCCCCCCCCCCGCTCTGCAGGCTCTAAGACAGAAAGTCCTATAGCCTTACCTTAGCCATTGGCCACAACCTTCTCTGACACTTGTCAGACTAACTCCCAAATGGTGCCCTCTTAAGTCTCATTTTCTTGCTTTATACCCTCCTGCCCCTGCTTTCTGTTGGTAGTAAGCCAAACATAAAAAGGGAGCATGGATAATTTTAAATTGAGCAAATTACTCAAGAGGTCTCCAAAACTGGGGTGAAATTTCAAAGAACAAGGGTTCTCCCGAGACTCCATCCGGTACTTAATCCCACCCCATGAACATTAAGCTGAGTGACTCAATGTTATGCAGAGGGACCTAACCCAGGTTTGAAAGGGAACCAACCTGTGGTTCCTTCCCTGGAGTTGGGGCTGGCAAAGTTCCAGACCTATTTCCTTTCTCGGGGAGAAGAGCCCCAGCCCTTAGGAAACCTTTTCTAGATGATAAGCTCATCAACACCTTCTGCAAAGTCCATTCTTGCAGGCTTAACCCAACCTGCCACCACCAACTGTTCCTGCAGATGGTCGAACCGGAGTGTTCTATGGAGAGCTATGTGCAGTCAGGGGACAGACACTCTGAAGACACAATACCCTCCCCTCTTGCAGAGGACTCTGACTCTTACCTATCCCACTATCTAGGGTCAACATGAGGTTGACCAAGCCACTTGGGGTTCTGACCACCAACATTCTTCAACCAACTCTGGATCGAAGTCCCTATCAAAATATTAGGCACTACCCTAAATCCTGCTCCCACCCCAAGGCATTCCGTGTCTGACACCTATCCCTTCGTGCACCTCCATTCAGTGCGCTGGAGGACAACTTTCCATCTGGATCAAGTCTCCGAGTGAGCAGCAGCAGCAAGCAAGGGAAGGCGGACTAGTCTGGATTACAGCAGGGCAAAAGGAGTCCAACCCCATCTTGGGGCCAGTAGTCATGACAAAGGAGCCCAGGTGAGAGCCCCCACCTTTCCAGGTTATAGAAAAGGAGACACTCAGCAGTTATTCACAGATTCAGACCCTTGAGGATCTGGTTCTAGCAAAGAGTGCATGCAGAAATCTCTCTGGGTCTTAACTTCCCTGGGTCTTGTTCCCATTTTTAAATCTCATCTTCACACCTGGCCCCTATCCCAAGAGCCTTCGGACCCTCTTACCGTGACGAAGACAACATTGTTGGGGAAGACTGATGTGTCCGCTCCATCCAAGGGCACTTGGGGTGCAGCAATGGGACCCCGGCTGGCTGTCAGCGAGGCTGGGAAGCAGCTTCTCTTTCGGACGGTTACAGTCCCTTCCTCACTCTCTGCCCCTGGGTCCCCCTCAGAAGTCTGGGATGGCAGACGCAGCTCCTCCGACAGGTAGTGTCGAATATTTTGGCGGGCCGAGTGGATGAGCCGGGAATCGATATCCAGGCCCACCATGCGGGATGGACCCCACTTACAGGCAATGCTCAGGGTCAGATGGCCCACATTGCAGCCCAGATCTAGGACGTCCCGACCCCGAAACCACTCAGGCTTCAACACTCGAAGGCGCCCATCCTCACAGGAAGGATTGCGGTAACCATAGTACTTGCAGTAATTCCCGTACTGGAACTTGAGCTGTTGCTTTTTGAAGCCTGCTGCAGGTAATGGGTGGTGGTGGTGGTGGTGGTGGTGGTGGTGGTGGTGGTGGTGATGGTGGTGGTGGCGGCCTCCCCCACTCCCTCGGCCCTTTTCCTTGGGACCCTGGCCTCCACCCCTAGCCCCTGCCTCTGACTTGCTGGAAGTCCTGCGACGTTTGCGATGTCGTGAGGAGGAAGACGGGGGTGCAGAGGTAACTGAGGCAGCTGGAGGGGCTGAAAGGGAGCCTGAGGGACCCTGTAGGGCAGACGGAAGGGGAGACACGACCTCATCCCTGCAGTTGATGGCTGTGTTGAGTTCATAGGGCTGGGGGGCATCCCGGTTCTGGCCCCTGTGCCGCTGCTGCTGTGTGGTGCCCTCCCCATGGAGTGAGGGAGTGAGGGGGGCTGTGGGGAGCACAGAGTGGCTATCATTCCCTCCAGTTGCCTGCTGCTGCTGCTGCTGGTGGTGCTGTCCCCGGTGTCTATGCCGCTTCCGAGCAGTCTTGAGTGGCGATGCAAGAACTACCTGGGCCTCATCAGTGCAAGTATTGAGACTGAGCGGGTCAGTAATATCTTTGGGGATGAGGATTTCCACTGGATCTCGCCCCTTGGCCGGAAGTGGAGATGACTTAGGGGTCTCTGCATTGAGTGCGCGGCTCACTTCCTCATCCAGGAGACTATTCAGGTTCAGTGGATCAAAGATATTGCCCCCCAGGAGAAAATTGGAGGGTAACACAGAATCACAGTCCGAATTAACCCGCCTGCGCCTCTTGAAGGCCGGATGTTTGAAGCCTCCACCACCTCCCCCTACGTTACAACTATTTCTCCTCTTGCCCCCGCCTCCCCCAGGGGGCCGGTGGGGCTGATAGCCATTTCGGGGTCGAGGAGGGGCAGGGGGGCCCAGTTCTGTTCCGCCCCCTCCCCGTCGCTCCTCCCCCACGTCAGGGGGAGCGGCTCGCCCGTGGGGATCCGACAAGCGGGCCTCCCCATGCGACTGCGCCTGGGGGCCGCCCCCTCGTTGCTGCTGCGACTGGCCTCCCCGAGTGGATGTAGCCCCAGGGTTCTCCTTGCCAGCCCCAGAAGCCGGGGCCCCCGCCGACTGTGCGCGCGGGCCCAGCCCACGCTGCGTCCCGCCGCAGAGCTCCCCGGAGGCGGCCTCTCGGTGCGGTTGCACCGTGGGGCCGCCCCCTCCGCCCGACTCATCTTTGAGCGGCGGCGGCGGGGCCGGCACCAGAAACGGCTCCTTCTCCGCCGCCATCTCGATCATTTCCTCCCCTTATTCCGTCCCAGTCGAGGGCAACGAGGGGGGGGACTGGGGGCTTAACCCCCCTCCCTAGAGCCCGCTCCCTTCCCCCCTTCCCCGAGTGCGCGCGCAGCTCTGCTCTTCTCGCCTTGTCTCGCGCCCAAGCGCCTCCCCCGAAGCGCACCCCACTCGCCCGCGAGACCAAAACAAGATGCCCGCGAGAACCGAACAACTCGAGGAATCAACCGCGCGTGCGCCGAACCCTTTCTCCTCCACCACTACCGCTTCGCCGCGAGCGCGCACTGCTAGAGCGCGTTCCTCTCGCCCCTGAATCACGCATGCGCACTCCACCACCACCCTGGTTGCGCGCGCATGAGTACGAACCAACTTAACGGCTCCGGGAGTTTAAATATAGCCCACCTCAGCCCCCCCCCCAAAAGCCCACCACCCCAAACTGACACCCTACTTCCCTTCGCAGCTATGTCCGTCCCTACTGATATCCTTTGTCTCTGCCGCGCGATCCCACCCACCGTAGGCGGGAGACGGGGAGCTGGTGTGAAAAGGTCTCCTTGACACCCGACCCTTGTTCCTGAGGAATGAGTCTCAGCGGTCTCCGCCCGGCTCTAAACCCAGCAACCTCCCTACCCCGCCTCCTTCCTCCCCCTAGCGGGCAGCGCCTGCGCACACCCTTTTGGGCTTGCGCGGGTAGATACAGCACGTGCTGGAGCTAACGCCCCGCCCTGCACCCTAGGGGCGGGGACTGTTACGTCGCTTCCTCAGATTTGGTACACGCAACGTGCGTCAGCACGATTTGGAGGGGGCGTGTCCAAAGAATGGGGCGGACCTCATGAATTATTCATAATTTGGTCGCCTTCCTCCCCATTACCCCCCTACTTAGAAAGGCTTCCGAGGGAACGGAGGGTGAACCTAAAAGTAGAGGAAGGGAAGGAGAGGAGCGTACAGACAGTTTTCCTACGAACTGTTCTCAGTAAAATACAATAAGTCATTGTAACTCACCCCCCTGGGAAATATTCTCTGCTGAACTGAAAAAAAAAAAAAAAGGCACTAAAGCAGCCGATCTTGTCCAACTTCTCTTCCCCCGAAATGGCCGAGTCGTTCTCTCGCTCCTCCGCCTTACCCCAATCGCGATCACCTGGGGACACCACGCCCTCCTCTCCGCCTCCACACCCACAACCCTGGCACCAAAACCTCCTCCCACCACCCGACGCCTGCGCGCGAGCCCCCAGCCCGCGGACTGCGATCCGACGCCCACCACAGCCACCAATAGCAGTACATTCACTACCACCACCGCCACCTCGCACGCAGGCCTTCCCAAACACACGCTGTCTTCACGCAGCCTTATATAAAAACGAGTGTGGGCGGGGAAGAGGGTTCGGCCTGCTTTGGGCCCCCTGCCTCGGCCAATGGGGAAGAAGCTATTCGGCGCCCTTTCCACAGGGTGCTAAGGTGGTGTGTTCTCCCTGCCAACAGAGCTTGGGGAGTGGGTCCTGTGGCAGAGAAGAAGGCGGGAGAGGCGAGAGTCGGGTTGCGGATAGTCTCAACTAAAATATCAAGATAGGGCGTGAAGGAAACTAAAAGGAAGAATAGGAATCAGGAAACGAAAAGGAGAAGGAAAAGGCAGTCTGGGGTAGAGAAAAAAGTTAGTAAAAGAAAGATGTGCTTAATGAACGATCAGGCGCTGCTCCTGCCGCCTAAAAAAGTGAGGCCACTAAGGATTATGGGATTTGTAGTTTTACGGGGCATTCGGTTGGAATATGGCGGAAGTAACAGCTGCGCAAACGCAGAAGCACCTTCAACTGGGCATGCGTCTCAGTCCTGGAAGCACGCCGCTGGAGTGGCAGCGAAGCTAGTGCGTGTCCTCGCGCCTTTTCTTGGTGGCGGGAAAGCTGGGTCGCGGTTGGAGGGGTTTGCAGAATTGCTGCAGTGGCTCATTTTGCTCCTTGCCTTTAGGTTCTCCTTGTTCCAGAAGGTAGCTGGCTCTTCTCTGATTGCAGATGAAAGTGCTAGGCGCTGCCAATCCTCACACCCGTCGCCTGAGGAGTTTTCTCTTCAGGACGACAACCAACTCTCATCCCTCCTCAGAATCTCTACCGCAAACCTACCCGCAACAAACAGACAAACAAAAGTCACCCAGTATTCTGGCGGGCAGCTACGGGCTGAGCGGGAATGAGGATGCTGGTGCCTCCACTGGGGGTGGGGATGCGGGCAGGCAGCTGAGGGGAGATTATCTCATGGCGGGGGTTCCTGAGGTGGAAGAGAGGCTAGCAAGCCATTATTCTATCCACTGAGGGGAGTCAAGGACTTTTGGTTTTGGTACCTTCGATCTTAATTGCCGTCCTTAAGAGCAAATTGGTGAGAGAAGAGAGCGGGAAAATGCGGATCCCCAGAAATTCTTCCCTCTGGTTAGAAAGGTGGAATTAGGACTTTTACTGTTCCAGACCTTGGCATCTTGTGAGGGGAAATGGTGCAGGGATCTGGGGGTTCATAGGAATGTGCTCCTTTAAGTGAAAACACCACACAAAGTCGAGTTAGAGGTTGGTGACGGGCACCTGTGGAAGTGTTGCAGCTGGCAGATAGCAAGAGTTAGAATGAAATCAGCGCTCACGAAAGAAAACCCGTATTTTGGTGCTGAGTGGCCATATCTTTGTGCTCCCTTGCTCTCTGAACGAATAAGCTTCAGTTCATTTATTGATAAGATTCTGGACAAGGTTTAGTTCAGGCAGTTACCACAGTAAATGTCTTGGTAGGTGTGGGCAGTAAAGGTAGCTGGAATCTTGTTTTTACCTTCTTTCTTGTGAAATTATGCTCGCTGAGGAAAAAAAGAAAAAAGAAAAAACCCACTATGGTTATTAATGGGGGCATGAAAATAAGCAGGAGTCCACATGCCATTAGACATTGATGCCAAAAGGAAATCAGGCTCCAGCTTAAAGGAGATTTTAAATAAAGTTTTCCAGGCTCATGGAGCCTGTGCAGACTGTGTGTCTGAGGACAATTCTAAAGGGTTTACTTGTATTCTTTTAGACCGAGGATTCCAGGAACAATATAAAGAGGGAATAGTTGGATAGTTAGGAGAGAGAAATTTGTGAACACATTCTAAATGGGGGGAGGAAGGTTAACGGTTTTTGAAAAATATTGACATGACTGAATTGTTATTTAGCTAGATCAGTTCTCAAGCTTATTGGCCTCAGAACCCTCCTATACTCTTAAAAGTTATGAAGGATTCCAAAGATTGGTTTATAGCTACATATCTTTTATATTTATGGGTATTAACATATTAGAACTTGAAATGAGAACACAAATTATTTAATGTTAAAATAATATGTTATAATTAATAATTATGTTGATATAAATAATATTTTTTTAAAAGATTTTATTTATTTATTTGTTAGAGAGAGAGAGCGTGGGCGAGAGAGAGTGAGCGAGAGGACAAGCAGGGGGAGCTGCAGGCAGAGGGAGAAGCAGGCTCCCTGCTGAGCAAGGAGCCCGATGCGGGACTCGATCCCAGAGCACTGGGATCATGACCTGAGCTGAAGGCAGCCGCTTAACTGACTGAGCCACCCAGGGGTCCCGATATAAATAATATTTTTATGAAAAACATTTTCCTAAATGAAAGAAATTTAGTGTGAAGAATGGTGGTGTTTTACATTTTTGCAAGTCTCTTTCATATCTGGCTTAATAGAAGACAGCTAGATTTTTATCTGTTTCTGAATTCAATCTGTTATGATAGCTTGTTTTGGTTGAAGTATATGAGAAAATCCAGCCTAACATGGATAAGTAGTCGGAAAAGGTAGGGGACCCCCAGGGGTCTTTGGATCACACTTTGAGAACTGCTGAAGGAGACAATTTCATCTTAAAATCACTGTGATGACCTTTAGTGTTCTAAGTGAAAGAAAACTTACTCTTTTTTGGAACACCTCATTCACCTTCCCTTAGTTCCCTTCATTCGTTATTTCCAAGTTCTTTTTCCCCTTTTCACCTTTCTTACTTAAGTTGAGTGGGTAGGATCTGATAGTGCAATTTTCCTTTACTTTCATACTTAAAGCTTTATTGGATTTCCCCCCCTCTCTCATCTGAGGTAAAAACAGAAACAAAAAAAAAACCCTTCAAATGTTATTCCTGGCTCCAGAGCCCTTGGTTATTTAGTAGCTGGTCAGATGAAAGTTGGTGGTATTTTGTGTATTTATTAACTGTCTGGTTTTAAAAAAATTTCTCTCTCTCTGCACTACATTTTAATATTTCTTATTGTGGAAGAAGAAAATTCATCTGAAACAGAGGAGCAGAGACTTGAGTTGTCAGAAAGTGACTTCTTGGCTTTCCCTTCTCTATTGATCAGGTTAGATATTTTCTTTAAAAGTAATGTTCTTCATCAAACACACTCTAGATTAACGGGAATTATTATATAATGCTGCTTATAAATTTACTATATCTTATTATAGTGATCCACAATTTTATCCAGTTGGTTGGGGCGCCAGTAACATACTTTGGCCTAGAGAGGTCAGTATAGGTTTAGATAATGATTTGAACTTAAATGCTGGAAAATTTTCCATTTTTAGGTGGATCAAAACACTCTATTTTATTTAAAGAATTTGGAATAAAAAAATCACTTTTGATGTGGTAATATCAGCATGTTATAAAATGCTAGAGATATGCAAGGGAGTACAGTAAAAAGCTCTCTTCCACCCCCAGCCACCCAGTTCTATTTCCTAGAGACTCACTTTTGTCAGTTTATTGTGTATTCTTGCAGAGATAGTTTATGAATAAACAACCATATTATGTAGATGCACATTTTAAAAAACCAAATATTGTCATCTCAAATACACTAATTTTCATTTTGCTTTCCCCATTTAGTATAGCTCACCTTGTAATTTATATTATCTTCATAGGGACTTCTCATGATCTTTTTTGGAATTCTGGAATCTGAGAGAAGTGTTTGTCATTTGTGGTCAAATTAATATTCATTTTGCAGCCTAATTTTATTCAGTTTCTAGCTTCTATTTAGAATTATCATAAAGAAGACCAATTTGCTGCAGTGTTTCTCCCCCAGTTACCCACTTGCCTTTTTTCCTAGAGTCAATCGACTTAGGGGTTGGTGGTGATGAGTTAAGATGGAAATAGTGAGGAAATGTGCTCCTTAATACAGAGGAAAAGTAGTTGCTGCAGAGCTGCACACCTGAATTATTCACATTTATAGAAGTAATACAAGGAACAGAAAAATACCAAAAGATAATTTGAAAATACACTTAGCCATGTTGTACACACACTAAGTCAAGCCCCCAATACCTTTTGAATTCATCTTGGGATCTAGAGGGAGGAACTCTATACCCTGAGCAACTGAATGTTCACTATAGTTTGGTCATTTGAGGGTCTAAAATTTTCATATCCTTTAAAGGGATGTGTATATATCTTATATATAAGATCCATTTTATGCTGCTTTTGGGTCTCTTTATAGTGGGAGATGACATAGTTGGAAGATTGAATTTCAGTTCCAGGGCCTTCAAATTACTCAAAACCAACAGCCAGAAATAAGATCATTGAGCAGAATAGATGTGTTATTAGTAGAATTTAGAGGCAAAAGGCCTGGGTTTGTCTTGGCTCTACCATGTATTAACACTGAGGCTTTGGGCAAATCACTTAATTGCGTTTTGTATATTTTTTTTCATCTGTAAAAAGGGGAGCTGGCACTTTATGACCTCTGTAGACCCTCCCAGAGCTACAATGCTTGTTATAAAAATAAGAATGGCTTACATGTGTTAAGCCTAGAGAAAACTGGGTGGAAGGGTTATAAGAAGTTGAAGCTGATAAAACCAGGGCATTTTTCTTCTAATTGCTGAGTAGAAATAGTATCGATAGTGGAAAGCAAATTGGAAAAAAATGTACAAATTATTGCAACGTCACAAGATGAGTCTTGGCACTCTGCTAGGCGGTAAATGGCTTATAGCTGTGTGCAGATACTGATCTCTTCAGCCTTTGATGTGGCTGGAGGTCCCCCTACTCCCACCCCTCAGTTGTCTATGGCTGTGAAAAGCCTGATCCTTTTACTCCAGAATACCTGGAAATATAATTTTCTGTGTATTTCAGCGTGTCTTTTTAATATATGCTTTCTATGTGTGCTGTGATATTAAGATGGGTTTGAAGCACTGAATTAGACTATTGGGATATATCATGCCACAGTTAATTAGCACAGAGTTTCAAAACCTGAATTATAATCTATCAATTACCTATTATGTTTAAATCCCTCTAAGCCTTAATTTCTCCGAGTGTAAAAAAGTACCGATCTCAAAGATTTACTGTGAGAATTAAATGAGATGACATATGTAAAGGGGAAAGAATATAGCTGGTACTCAATAAATGTCATCTATTATTATTAGTCACAATTTTGGTAATGATGATGAAGCACACTGAAGTGGTATAGAACATCTGCGAGTAGATAGCTATAGGATATAGAGTGAAGGTATTAGATTCCTATTACTAGCTTCCCTGGGGACCTCTGCCGGTTACCAAATATTTTTGAGCCACAAATAGAGACTGCTAGAATCCAGCACATTGGAAAATTTATTGGACTAGAAGATCTAAGTAAAGGGTAGATAAAGATTATGGTGATGTTAAAAAGGGGGGTTCTCTATGCATAGGGACCTCTGACTTAGGTCAGAGAATTGCCAGATTATTTGTATCTTAAGTGTTTAGGAGAACCTTGTGAGATGAGTTTATCCTTCTGAAGAAAACTCTTACTTTTTTTTTTTTTTTTTAAGATTTTATTTATTTATTTCACAGAGAGAGACAGTGAGAGAGGGAACACAAGTAGGGGGAGTGGGAGAGGGAGAAGCAGGCTTCCTGCCGAGCAGGGAGCCCGATGACGGGCTCGATCCCAGGACCCTGGGATCATGACCTGAGCCAAAGGCAGACGCTTAATGACTGAGCCACCCAGGCGCCCCGAAAACTCTTACTTTTTAACTCCCAGGACTGTTCCTACTACTACTATTGATGCTTCCATCTGTTAACAACAAGACAACAGGCCCAAAATGCAATTGCTTCTATTAAGCCCCATGTCACCAAAACAAGACTTAAAGTTTTGGCTCTCCCAGAAATAGAATCTTAGTTTACAGCCCATCAGGAATCACCTGATCAGCACTAGTTAGGTAATCTGCCTAACAGACCCCTACCATCTCCTACAGGAAAGTAAACTTGCCATAGCTAATGCCCTTTTTTGCCTAGTGTACCTTCCTTGTTCCTGCTCCTCCTGCCAGTACAAGTCTTTCATTTCGTACAGCTCCTCTGAGTTTCTTTGTACCCGCTAGATCAGATGCTGCCCAATTCATGAATCATTGAATAAAGCCAATAATATCTTCAAAATTTACTCAGTGAATTTTTTTTTTTTTTAACTCATCACTACCACTTCCACTATTGACTAGTGCCTGCCTTATGTAGGACAGGACTCTAGGCACTTAAAACACTGAGGATTGTTGCTTATCTTTAAAACAGTAACTCTCATTATCCCCTGGCATGTGATTGACGCTGCTGAGGAGGTAGAAGTGTAGTCCAGAAGGCCGAAAATGTAGTTCAGGAGTCCCAGGCAAAAGATCCTGAGCCCAAGAAGACAGAGAGAGAAGAAAGTTTAAAATCATGTTCAATCAGAGTTCTAGCAGTTACTTTCCTTTTTCTAACAGAGGCACAAAGAAAGTGTAGCTTCTGAGCTGAATGATGACAACATTGCAGAGTAAAGAAGGTGAGTCAAGAGTGAAGGAGGTTCACATTTTATACATTTCTCTCAGTTTTCCCTTCTTTCTCAGTCCTTGGTCGTTTTGATGCCCTTCCCACCAAAGGGAAGCTCAGTCCATATATATTTTACGTGCACTTCGTTAAAGTTACTACTTTTCTAGAAACTTTGAGTGAAATGTGTATGACTTAGAAGCAGTCCAGCTCAAGAAATGTACGAGCTCATATGGAGACAAGAGATATTTTAATATCTATAACACAAGTTTGAATGTGGTAAATGCCACCAGAGATGCATGAAGTGTTGTGGAAACTGAGAAGAAAAAGATACTACTTATACCTGGGAGGATCAGTGTAATTTTCGTTGTACTAGTTTGTTTTCTTTCCCCTCCAATTTTTCTAATTTCCCATAAAATTTTGTTTAAAGTTAAAATGAGCAAATTTTAAAAATTTCCATTTGAAATACTCATCTTCCTGCATGTTCATATTTGTCACCTTTGAACTACTCAGTAGTTCCTAAACTCAGCATCAGAATAATCTAGATGGCCTTGTAAAATGACAGATTCCTAGGCCTCACTCCCAACTATTTCATCTGAATCTCAGGGGGTGGGGTGGGGTGGGAGAGGAGAGGCCTAGTAATCAGATTTTGTTAAAAAGCTCTCTCCAGATAATTCTGATATCCCCAGTCAATGGGCAATGCAAACGCTTTCTGTGCTAGACTCTGTGTTTCATAAATTCCATTTGATAATCAAATTTCTTTCAGAATGTGGGAAGGGGCCAAAGAAAACCTTTGCCCCACCTGCACAAAAATTGCATAGCTTGATGTGCTATAGCCCTAACCCACCCAAGGAGGAGACCCTGGAGATCAGTTCCCCAAAGGCCAGGTCAGAGAAGAAGGAAGAGAAAGCAACCACAGAAAATGGTCCAAGCGGTGGCCAGGAGAATAAAGGAAAGCCTCAAGACAAGCAAGCAGTGAAGAAAGAAAAGGTATCAGTCTCATTGACGGGTTCTAGTGGGACAGTTTCTCCTAGATATCCAGTCTAAATGATCTTTTATGTAGAGGAACTTTCAGTTTTTATTCCTTTCTTGGGGCTTCTATTTTCTTCTCCAAGAGGTAAAACAAAAAATCTTGATGAAAGCCTTTAGCTGGAAATAATGGCTGGGTAGGGGTTGAGGTGGGATGGAGGTGAGAGTGGATGTGGTCGGAGACTTTAAAAATTTTCCTTTTCTTTTACTCCTTTATTCCCAGGAAATCTGGGATAGAGTGTATAGAATCCTTAGGGACATTGACTTCATGTTTGCAGCCTTGCGAACTTACTGCCTCGTGTAAAAGAGTCTTCCCTGACTGGTCAGAGAGGAGACCCGGGGATAGACGAGTGGTTTTCCTCTTCTGCCCTTGTCTCTGTAGGAAAGAGCAAGTCTCACCAATGCAGAATTTGAGGAGATTGTCCAGATTGTGCTACGGAAGTCCCTCCAGGAGTGCTTGGGTATGGCTTATAGTGAGAGAAGAAGATTTCAGTTAGACAAACTGTTATCTGAGGGGTAGAGTAAGTTGACATCTGTTCTCCTTCCTTCTAGTTTCCTAAGTAAGGAAATACTAGATGGACTTTAAAATATTTTTAAATAGTTCATCTTCTATCAACAGGACTATAAACCACCTTAGACAGGGGGTACAGGCTGTTAGAAAAGTGAGTTACATTGACTTCAGAATAAAAATACAATCTCAGATTGTTTTTTAAAATGTAACTTAAATTCATTTTTACATGTTTACAATCTACTTAGAAATGATAAATTGTATTTCTCGGATTCGAAGAACGTAGTTTCCATCTACCCTTGTATATTTCTGATTCCAATACTGTTTTAACATTATGCTTAGGGATTTGACTTTTGGAATAAAGAACTCTATAGTGTAGGGCCTGAGGACTTCACCGTATGTCCTGAGGAGAAGGGGAATAGTTTGATGTTTTCAGCTATTCGTAGGTGTACTTCTATTCTTAGAGAAAGTTTCAGGAACAAATGATATAAAACACAGTGGTGTAAAATTTCTGGTATGTACACAAAATAAAATTGACATTACCTGGCTATCCTGGAATAAGGCAGATCAATCTGGAAAGACTTGCCGAAAGATACAGATTTGTAGTTTTTTTCTGAGAATTTAAAGACTTAAAGTTCTGTGATAATGACAAAACTCCAAAGGTGGGCTCTTCCAGACAACAGGTGGAAGACATTTTAATGGAAGGCTGCCATTTGGAAATAATCGAATCAGTATTTTCTTAATTGCTTCTCTGCATATAGTATTTTGTTTTGGGAGAGATGGGATCTAGCCTTGATTTTGCAGGTACTTCCTGTGCCCAGCCCATAAGATGCACCCAATTAGACAAGGAACCAAGAATTGCTTCTTCTACTGATAATGACAATGCTGATGGGTAAGTTTATCCCAGTGAGGCGAGTTGATCACAGGGTGGACTTAGCATTGGTAAGTGGTTATCTGTCTATCTAGTCGTTCTCATATCTCTATGAATTTTTCTCAGGAAAGATACCTGTTTGAATTGGGAAAAATAGGCAAGTAGATGGATAAAATGGCCTCAGGAAGCCTTAGAGAGCCTAGGATTCTTCTATCTTCCTGACTTTTACCCTTGGGTTTTTTTTTCAAAAGGAGGGTATGACATATTCCTCCTTCTTGCCTTTTCATTAAAGAAAAAAATATTATTTTCAGAGAGAGGGTAATGGCACCACATATTCTAGAGATTTCAGCCACTGAGGAAGCTGGAGTAACCTCTGTGATAAAGAGATCTAAGCCAGGCCAGCCGGATCCTGCACCCTCTGAGAAGAAATTCAGCAGATCTTCCCTAAGCAAAGGAAAGAAGGGAGCTCGTAAGTACAGTCAGATATACTTTGACATCTGGCTCAAGTGCCTATGGCACAGAATTAGGGAACGGGACAGTGGGCAGGCAGAGAATCTTCAGCCCAAGGCTTGAAACTCTTAGGCTATGATTCTTCTTCCTTCTTTCACTGGCCCTTACTATCTACATTCTCTTCATCTCCCTACCCTACAATGTTTTGTTTTGTCTTCCCAGAAGATGAGAAAATGGAAAAGGCCCAAAGTGGACATGAGCAGAGACAGAAAGACCAACTGAAAAAACCAGTTCAAGATGATTCTCAGACCAGAAACCAACAAAAAGGAGAAGGCGGTGGTTTTGGTGAGTTCAGCATGATTTGGAAAACTTACCTGGGCTTGAAAATTGAAGATAGAGACGGAGAGAGGCAAGGGTTGGGTTGCTGGAGGAAATTCTGCAAAAACTGTAATTTATCTCTCATAGCTACTTGTCAGGGATATGCCATGGAAGAGAAAGAATTCATTAATTCATTTATTCAGTCATATAATCCATAGTTGTTAGGTGCTTACTATATACCAGCAATTTTAGGAGGTGCTGAATAAATTCAGAAGAAATTAATATATGCCTGTTGGAAGGGAAGCGGGCTTGTGAGGAAGGCAAACAAGAAAGCTGCAAATCGGGAGTAGATCTGGAAAAGTTTCCAAGAAAAGATACGTTTTGAGCCATATGTCAGAAGTATAATTTAGTCAGGTGAACCGAGGTGGGGATGGGGGTCAGAGTGATAAATATTGGCAAAGTTATGGAGGAGAGCTAATGGTTGTAGCTTTTGGGTGTATGGGGGTGGGTAGGAGGTTGTAGGGGGATATAAGGCTAGAAGCATGCAAGGGCCTTACATGTCAGGCTAAGGAATTTTAATTTAATTTAATTTAATTTTTTTTTTTGAATTTTATTTTAAAAGTAAAGAGGAGGGGTGCCTGGGTGGCTCAGTCGTTGGGCGTCTGCCTTTGGCTCAGGTCATGATCCCGGGGTCCTGGGATCGAGCCCCGCTTCGGGCTCCCTGCTCTGTGGGAAGCCTGCTTCTCCCTCTCCCACTCCCCCTGCTTGTGTTCCCTCTCTCACTGTGTCTCTGTCAAATAAATAAATAAAATCAAAAAAAAAAAAAGGTAAAGAGGAACCACTGGCATTAAGTAGGGAAAACTTGGTAAGATTTGTATTTTAGAAAGCTCACCCTGCCACTGGCATGGAAAATGAATTGGTGGGAGCACAACTAGACCCACAGAAATAGTGATCCAAGTGAGGAAGACAGTAGCAGTGAAGAAGAAGAGACAACGTTGAGATTTTTAGGAGGAAAGACCAGTATGGTATGGTTGCCAGTTAGATCTGAGAGGTGAAGGAGAGTGAGGCCTTCAGGATGATCCTGTTTTCTGACCTGAGTGGCTGAAAGAACCATCATTTGAAATGGAGAATATAGAAGAAAGAGCACATTTCAGATGGTGAATTCAGCTTTGAACAAGTTAGGGGATCTGTGATGAGCTTTAGCATCCAAGAAAGAGCTTTAGTATCCAAGAAAGAGATCCAGGAATACGGATTTGGGAATCTGGATGAAATTTTCCAAGAGGAAGACATGGAGAAGAGCAGTGAATAGAAAACCCATAATGTTTAGGGGGAACATAATGTTTAGGGTTGAGCACAGGAAGAACTGCACGGGGAGAAAACTAAGAACTAAGAGAAAACTTATGGACGTGGAAGGAGATCTAGGAGAGTATGACATCACAGATGTCAGGGTAGGAGAAAATTTCAAGAAAGAGGAAGCGTTTAGCCTTGTCCAGTGCTGCTACAGAGACATCAGAGGATAAAGATTTGAAAATGCTCAATGATGTTACAGTTAGGAAGTTACTAAGGTCTTGATTAGAGCACTCATATGGGTTGGTAAGGGTGAATGGCCAGTTTAGCTGGTTGAAGAATAAGTACTTTTTCAATTAGTTTAGATGTGAAAACCAGGATGAAGAAAATGGTAAATAGAGGGGAGTGGGTGTAGAGTTGAGGGGCGGCTTTTCTTTTTTTAACTTTCTTTTAAAAGAAAGAGACTTGACCTGTGTGTTGTTAGCATATGTATATGCTGAGGGAAAATTGTTTATAAAGAAGGAAAGATTGGGGTGACTGGGTGGCTCAGTCGGTTAAACATCCGACTCTTGATTTTAGCTCAGGTCTTGATCTCAGGGTTGTGAGTTCAGTGCCCGTGTTGGGCTCCACTCTGGGCACAGAGCCTACTTAAAAAAAAAAGAACAAAAGAGGAGACATTGAAGGGAATGAGAAGAGAGCCACAGGGCTTATTCTTAGAAAGGACACTTTAGCCTTTGAGATTAGATGGAAGGAAGATAAACATGGATATAGATTTATTTATTCTTTTAACAATAGTTATTAATGCCTTATGTTCTATTCCAGGCAGTGTGCTAGGTATTGGAAATACAGTGGTGAACAAAATAGATAATCCTTTCTTTCATAGAACTCATGGTTTTAGTGTATTGGGTAATAAACAAATATAGGTTATAACCATGATAATTTTGGGAAATTTTAGAATGAGAAATAAAAGAGATCAGATGATGTGTTAGTATGTTTAAAATTTTGAAAATAAATACACTTAACAATCTGGGGGGAAAACAGGCTTGCTCCAAAAACAGGCTTGTAGGTACTTGAAAGAAAACTCTAAAAAAAAAAAAAGAAAGAAAGAAAAGAAAACTCTAGGCAGGGGCATCTGCGTGGCTCAGTCGTTAAGCGTCTGCCTTTGGCTCAGGTCATGATCCAGAGGTCCTGGGATCGAGCCCTGCATTGGGTTCCCTGCTCAGCTGGAAGCCTGCTTCTCCCTCTCTCTCACTCCCCCTGCTTGTGTTCCTGCTCTTGCTATCTCTGTCAAATAAATAAATAAAAATTTTAAAAAGAAAAAGAAAACTCTAGGTATCACACAGGATAGTCCAAGGCAATAAACTGCTTCTTGTGTTATGATGACATGGTAACATAAGGAGCCGGAGGTGTAAGTCTCATTTGGGCAATTGGGTTGTCTGGGTGGCGGTGTTCCATCTCCTGCACCTCTCAGTATTAAGGCAAGGATTGGATTTTCACTGGGAAATGGAAAGTCCACTCCTTAGGCAGTGCTCATTGAGTCAAATTGTGATTGTCGTGAATATGTAAGCCTCTGGCTGTAAATGGACTGCTCTTCCTGTTTCTTCCAGTTGCCAGGGACAGATGAGTCCTCCTGGAGTAGGAAGGAGGAAGGGCAGTATCTGATAAATACAATCCATTTGTATGAAGTGAGGGAAAAGAATGGAGTGTCATCACAGGAAATAAGGGAGACCTAATCAAGATTGGGCCAGTCAGGGAATGCAGCTGTAAGGAGATGGCTGTTAAGCTGAAATCCGAAGGAGGAGCAGGAGTAGAAGAAAGAGTTTAGGGAGAGTGCAGTTTGGCATATTCTGGGTATTAAAAGGAAGTCAGTGTGATTGGAGTTTGGAGAGCAAGGAGAAGCAAGGCAGGAAAGTGGCTCTGGATGAATGTACAAAGTGAGGATTTTATCCTCAGTGCAGTGGGAAACCACTGATGAGTCTTCACCAGGGGAGTGATGTCATCAAATTAGTATTTTAAAAGGCTCCCTTTGGTGATTAATTGGCGAATGAAGTATGTAGGGACAAGAGTAGACAAGTGAGTCCTAGGATTAGATACTTTGGTGGCTTGGAGGAGGATGATGAAAGTGGAAACAGAAGTGGATGGTTTTAAGATATGTTTTAGAGGTAAACTTGTCAAAACTTGGTAGTGAATTGGATATTGTGTGTGAGAGAGACGAGAATATGTTAAAGATGATTGGTTTCTGGCTTGAGCAGTTACATGAGAGAAGGTGGGGAAAAGTGGAGGAAGAACACATTGTGGGATAAGATCAAGCATTTGGGTTTGGGCCTGTTAGGTTTGAGATCTTTGTGAGACATCCAAATGGTGAAGTCAAAGAGCGAGGTGCCTGTAGGGATCTGGAGCTCAGAACAAAAGCTAGAAGTATTATTCATCTGTCTGTGGTCAGGTGTGGAGATGGGTCTCAAACCTGTAGGAACGGGCGAGCTCGCCTCAGGAGAAAGTGTGGCATGGGAGCAAAGGCCCGTGACTGGGCTTTGGGATCCCAACATTTGGAGACTGAGTGGAGAAGGAGGAGGAAAATGCCAGAAAGAGTGGAGGGTGGGGAGAGGGCGAAACGGAAGGAGGAAGGATCACAGAACCCAAGGAAACAGGTGTCCACTGAAATGCTCTTTGTGTCTCTGTGCCATCAGTCTTCATTATCATAGAGCTGTGTCGTGAGCCTCAAACAGTTTTCTGGAGCACATCATCCTCTCTTCTAAGTTGTTTGAAAGGAAACTTTAAAGAACTGTGTGTTGCTGTCATTAGAAATTTTATCCCAAGCCGCACAAATATACCTAGTTCTACATCATTAGGATGACTTTTCTCCATTCATTTGCTCACGAATATTCATTATTTTCACAACCAACCATTTATTTTATTAATCTGTGTTTACTTTTATGGTCCCTGGCCCCTTCTCCCACTCTTTTTTCTAGTCTTGGTAAGTCTCCTCTATAAACATCAAAAACTATCATTGGCAGCTCTTTTTGTTTTGTTTTGTTCTGGTTTGGCTTTTTTGGATGATATTGTTTTTATGTATACAAAGTTTCCAGATTTTATATTATCATATCGAAGACACAAGATGCCAGCCCATAGTGATCAGAAGAAAACCCAGGTAGGAAGCCAACACAGAAGGTTCCAGTGGACCTGGGCTAGCCGGGCCTGTGCAGAGTCCTGATACCACCGTCCATTGGCCCAGAGGCAGGGCTGGCTTGTTGGGCACCCTCACAGGAGGCCTGTGCCTGAGCCAGGTCCACAGGGGCTCTCTGTGGATTGCCCAGCGGCATCCGCCTCTAACTCCAAATTACAGTCCTTCTGTCTTGGTCCTTGCTCAGCTTTCTCTGGTTGCTGAGGCAGAAGGTAAAGATCTGTTTGGGCTAGACATTCTCATCGTCGTGGGACGGGGGTGGTAGCAGCGATGGAGGGGCTGCCCAGGAGCGCAGCGTGGAAGAAGGCAGGCCCCAAGTGGCATGGCTGCCTGTCACTGCAAGCCTTGCCTACCAGCATTACCGGAGGCGTGGATCTCACTGACCCACAGCAGTTGCTGTGGTGTCGCACACACGTGTGTGTTCCAGGCTCTGCTGCTGTCTTTTCAGACTAACGTATCGTTCCTGACCAGTGCTTTTTTCTTCAAATTAAATTAATTCAGAATGTGATGCATAATATGAACTACCTTGAAAGGACCCAAATAAAAGTCAGCTGCTTCTCTGAGGGCCGATTTCAAGGGGATGGAGGGCATCCCTTATGTTCAGGCATGGAAGGTAAAACTTGACAGTGGGCAAATGAACTCACTGGAGAAACATATTGGTTGATATTGTTAATTGTGATGGTATGGTGTAGACTCATGTGCCTGGTTATGTGATATTTCTCTAGCAATGCTCAGTTGAATGAATGTAGGCACAGAAAAGGTAGAATGTGTTTATTCAAGGTTGTGTTGGGCCAGCTAGGTGGGAAGAAGGACAGAGGGCAAGGGAGTTGAAGATGTCTGCAAGAGAATCTAAGGAGTCAAACCTGAGTAAGTATAGTGAAGAAAGGAGGTCGCTACTAGATTGGGAAGAAGTTAGGGGCCAGTGGATTGGTGATCTAGATAAAGTGAAAGTTCCTTAGAGGTCTTTGGGCAAGTGTGGTGGAAGGATGGGGCATTTTTTTTATCAGAGAGGGATGTTTGGATAAGTGGGTTCAAGGGTGTGTGAGGTCCCTATGGATGACTGAGTGGGGCATGCAGGAGGGGAGTGCATCACGAAAGTGAAGTGCATTACTGAGGTGGCATGGAGGAAAAGACCAAGGAACTCAGAGAATGGGGTGCTTCTTTGAGTTACCTCTTGAGAACAGCAGTCATCTGGAATGAGGGCAGGAGATGGATAGGAGGAGGAGAAGGCTGAACCAGATGCCAGCATCTTTTCAAGGGAGATGAGAGGGTGGTGTAGTCCCATGGCATGGATCTCAAGGAAGGAAGGATTTTTGTTTTTTTTGTTTTTTTGTTTTTTAAGATTTTATTTATTTAGGGCGCCTGGGTGGCTCAGTCGTTGAGCGTCTGCCTTCGGCTCAGGTCATGATCCCGGGGTCCTGGGATCGAGTCCCGCGTCGGGCTCCCTGCTCGGCAGGAAGCCTGCTTCTCCCTCTCCCACTCCCCCTGCTTGTGTTCCTGCTCTCGCTATCTCTCTCTGTGTCAAATAAAT